TCGCTACTCGGGCACTAATTCGTCACACACGCTTCCTAGGCTGCTATATTGGCTTAAACAAAACGGGACTTCGAAACTCTTAATGGAGGGAGCCCAATGAATTGCTTTAGAAATGAGAAACCAAATGTTCCAAATTGCGTGTGCTACAAGTGTATACAGTGTGCTCGCATGGATGGCTTAAAAGGAAGGAAAGCTTTAGTCTATAAGTTTCCAAGCTTATCAAAACGAATTTGACAGAGAAGCCATTCAAAGCGTTTTGGTTAACTTAATGGATTTGATGCCCAGCTCAGCATTTTCGCGCATTTAAAATCGAATAACGGTGTGATAAATGCACTTTTGAGAGAGAGAATCTATAACCGATGAGCTGCTGCGAAATAAGACAATTGACCCCTGAGGTTGAAAACGCATTATGCCACTGTCGGAGCGGAACACCCAAAGGCCTAACAATCACAGGTTCACTAGTGTAAACAGCCCATTAAGAATTGCACTAGTACTAAGTTGTACATTCGTGAGTGGTTTCAGCAGTGCCTGCATTACTCACAAACCAATTACAGACCATTTCCCGGCTTTGACGCCACCTTAGTTTAGATGGTGGGAGAGTCTCAGAAACAGTCTATGGACACATAAATTGCTAATATGACTCGATCGATAAGAGGCTTACTTGCTCATTCTCGTGGTTTTCAACTTCTTAAAAAGGATGTAGTTCTTTAAACAAATACAATACCAAGAGGCCCTAGAACAATAGTAGAGGCTGCTCTCAAACTAAGGCGATAATGAAAAGTCATTGCTTGCTTCACTACAATCTACGCTCCCGAGATATGTACAGGGCAAATGCTGATCTTGTCGGTACTGTCCATTATAAGTGAAGCCGTCAACCTTGTATACCCATGAAATCTCACCGCAAAGCTACCTCTAGTATGTCGAATTTAAGCACTACTATTTGGACAGGAGTCTAAAGTGAGATTTCACCTGAAACCTTTGCTTCAAACTCGAGATTTTCAGAGAAATACGTACTAATAGATATCCGGACATTCGAGAAACCTTTGTTTCAACGCTTCACTATTTCCCAGGTCAACACCTTAGAGGTCCTATTTTGGCTAATTATGTGTCTTGACTAATAAAAATTGTGGCTATATCTAGTAAGGAGACGAAACTCTCAAGTAGCTCAGAAAAGTCCTTTTGCAGTATACGAATAGGACCAGACTATCAACTAATGGAATGTCAAAGCGAGGCAACTAGCACAAATACTATCGTTTTAATTAAACTGTGCGCCTTTTGTGCAAGGGTCGAGCCAATAAACGGTGAGTAAATTACATAGAATACCAGCCGACACAACAGCTGTACTTTCGCTTCTGTTTGGATGGCTTGCAGGGGTGTCTTTGCTTTTTCAAGGTTTTTGAGAGCTCCCCTCAAACTGGTCTCCTTTGCTAAGGCTACCACTGTTCCTGTTCTTAATAGCGCAAGTAATGGTTTTGTTGTTAAATCACTAGTGCCTAATTCTAGGGTGGTATGCGACTGAGACCAAAACTGTTCCGACTGCTAACGCCAGGGGTCGCATTGTAGCCGTTATCGGTGCTGTTGTCGATGTTCAATTCGACGACAAACTTCCTCCTATTCTTAACGCTCTGGAAGTGCAAGGTCGCTCTTCTCGTCTCATTCTTGAGGTTGCTCAGCATCTTGGCGAAAGCACCGTACGCACCATCGCCATGGACGGAACTGAAGGCCTTGTTCGTGGTCAGGAATGTGTTGACACCGGTTCTTCGATTACCATTCCTGTTGGTCCCGAAACTCTTGGTCGTATCATGAATGTCATCGGCGAGGCCATTGATGAACGGGGTCCCATCAAATCGAAGATGACTGCGTCGATTCACCAGGACGCACCCGAATTTGTTGAAATGAGTACAAGTCAAGAGATTTTGGAGACCGGAATTAAGGTTGTTGATTTGCTAGCTCCTTACGCTAGAGGTGGTAAGATTGGTCTGTTTGGCGGAGCTGGTGTCGGTAAGACTGTCATCATCATGGAATTAATCAATAACATTGCGCGGGCTCACGGTGGTTATTCTGTTTTTGCCGGTGTTGGCGAGCGTACTCGTGAGGGCAATGATCTTTACCACGAGATGATCACTACCGGTGTTATCGATCTCAAAGGAAATAATTCGAAGGTTTCTGAAAAACAATTTGCTCATTAAATCTATCTAGGTGTCCCTAGTTTATGGTCAAATGAACGAGCCTCCGGGTGCACGCGCTCGTGTCGCCCTTTCAGGTCTCACCGTTGCCGAGTACTTCCGCGATCAAGAAGGTCAAGACGTTTTACTTTTTATTGACAACATTTTCCGATTCACACAAGCTGGTTCCGAGGTGTCTGCTCTTCTGGGTCGTATACCTAGTGCTGTGGGTTATCAACCCACTTTGGCAACTGATATGGGTACTATGCAGGAGCGAATCACGACTACGAAGAAGGGTTCAATTACATCCGTTCAAGCTATATACGTCCCCGCTGATGACTTAACTGATCCTGCTCCGGCTACAACATTTGCTCACTTAGATGCTACCACGGTGTTGAGTCGCGGCATTGCCGGTCTCGGTATTTATCCGGCTGTTGACCCTCTTGATTCTGTTAGTCGTATTCTGGATCCCAACATTGTCGGTGAGGAACACTACACGGTTGCTCGTGGTGTACAAAAGATTCTTCAGGTATGCTGCTTTAGTATAATTTTTCTGTTTCAAGGACTACCGTTCGCTGCAAGATATAATCGCCATTCTGGGCATGGACGAGTTGTCTGAAGAAGATAAATTAACCGTAGCGCGTGCTCGCAAGATTCAGAAGTTCCTTTCTCAGCCCTTCCAGGTGGCTGAGGTCTTCACTGGGATGGAAGGGAAGCTGGTCAGTCTGCAAGACACAATTAAGAGTTTCAAAAAGATTCTTTCCGGTGAGATGGATCAATACCCTGAAGCCGCTTTCTACATGGTTGGTGGAATTGATGACGTGGTTGAGAAGGCAAAGAGACTCGCAGCTGAGCACTCGTAGAAACAGTAGTGGGTGTGCTTTATACCCATCTGCTCTTTGATGGAAGTAGGGCCGCTTGTAAATTTCTATCTTGATTTAAGAGTAGCACTTTACTTATTCGTTGCAATGTTTATTTCAGTTTAAATCGGTTGGAATGTCTTATTCAAGGTGTTGGGATGTGGAATGGCGCATGGCGTAGCACATCACTGTGGGGGTTTGGATTCATTGCTTTGATGTAGTAGATTTATTGTTTTGGGCAGTCATTTGTTTAAGTAGCGAACCTATGTGCACTGATTGTCTCTACAACCTTGGTGGATTTCTGGTTCTGTCGCGTCAGCGCCGCCCAACGTCAACATCTCACATGCGTCTGATAGCGAGTTGGCCTAAGGGATGAGCGGGATATCGTGGTTGGTGATCTGTAGTCTGGAGGGTGGGACGGAGTCTGAGGGCATTCGTGGTCTGTGCCGGTCACGGGGCGTGATTGCTCGCCCAAAGATCCGTCAGCATGCTGCGATGAGTTGTTATAATTGGCTGGATTCGAGGCGGTTCAGTAATGCTCGCCGTCGACGCTCCCTATTTCATGGTGTCAAAATGTAGGGTGGGAGATGTTGTTTCGTTTATGTGGCCATTTGGTGTGCGTCGGTTACTTTGGGGTCCGTCGGGCCCTTGTACGTGTGGGCAGGCCTTCGAGT